GGATGGGGTAACGCACGAAACTAAACCAACCCCTCGGCCACGCTCGGCACTTGGGTCCACGCTCCATCGCGCCCGACCCCCCAGCCGCGTCTGATGTTTGGGTTGGCGCCCGACGCCTGGGTCCACGCTCCCAGAAACGATGGCCCAGAACATTGGCAAGTTGAAAAATCCCCCAGATGATTCTACCCGAATCGCCCGGGGGCTTGGGGGCTACACCCACCGGATGCGCTCGTGCGCACCCGCTTCGAATCGCCCGGGGGCTAAGGGGGCTACACCCACCGGGTGCGCTCGCGCGCTCCCGCTGGCAAGTCAAAAAATCCCCCAGACGATTCTACCTTAATCGCCCGGGGGCTACACCCACCGATTGTGCTCACGCGCACTAGCTAGCAAGTCAAAAAATCCCCCAGGCGATTTCTAGCACCACCAAGGCCACACCCCTTGTTGGGCTCCGCCTCGTCCGACCTCCGAGGGCTGGCTCCGCCTCGCCCGACGTCTGAGGGCTGGCCCCGCTTCACTCGATCCCTCGGACATGGTCCCTAACGGAAGCTCACGCTGCCACCAACCACTACGGACCAGAAAGTACAACCCCAGGTCAAACTTCTAACATCATACAGGGAGCGGACACGTCTCATCATGACCCGTCTCCGCGACATGACATTCTAGGGGACTCACGTCGACCCACAGTGACGGACGCATGGTCACTATGCTGCCTACACCCTATATGACCGCTGATCAATATGCTAGTTCGTCGATCCAACGCCTGGGTCCATGCTCCATCACGCCCGACCCCTCAGTCGTGCCCGATGCATAGGATCCGCGCTCCGTCGCACCCAACGGCGACTCACGATCTTACACCCATCCGTTGCTCTCGTACAACGAGTATAAACAGCCCCTTTGCGACTTCATAGAAGTCCCAAAGGGCTCGGGGACTCCTGACGGGTTCATAAACCTAGGGTCCCCGATGGGCCCGCTTCCCAGCAAAAACTCGGCCCAGCGGACAGCATTACAACAACGCGTGACTCCTGGGCCTGAAGAGCGACAGGCAGGAAGAGCGATCCAGTCTTTGACCGAAAGGCCTGACCAAGGAGCGGATGACGCTCGCTTCCGACTTTGACCCGTTTTTCCGACCGGAAGGCCTAGCCAAGGAGGGGACGACGCTCGCTTCCGACTCCAACCCGTTTTTCCGATCGAGAATACACCGAACCCCTGCTTACAGATCTTCGACCAGCGTGGTCGGAGCCGACTGGGAACGACCGACCGGGGACGCCCGCTCGGTGAGGACCCAAGAGTCAGGCGGAGCAGATAAGGCAAGGCGCTCAAGTCAAACCGTGATACCGAGGACCGTACCCTGCACACCTGCAGGACAGTACCACCAGACCATGTCAGAAGGGTGCTTTGCAACCTTCTAGACATGTCAGAACACGAACAGTGTTGTGGCGCCGACATTTGTCCTACAGTATGGTAGGCGTCGACATTTGTCATACCAGAAGAACATGATGGAGCCCGCCACATGCATCTGGGCGTCAACAGTATTATGGGCGCCGATAAACCGTCTTGTACTCGATGGCGTGGGCAATAAGACTAGGTAGCACACACTCTCTTTCTCTCTCACACTCTCTCTCACTTTAAGGCTATCCCATTCATCTATAAAAGGGGATGCGCTCTCTCCCAATAGACCACGGTGGATATTCCGACTCTCTCTTTCTGCTAAGCTTTAGACATTCTGAGCACTCGAACAGCTCCATAGCTCTAGAACTCTAAAGCTACACAAAGCACACGTTCCAACACTTAGCGCACGTCGGAGCTCCCGTCACTATTGACCATTCGGTTCAGAGTACGACCAGACCTTCGACACCCCTTCTTATTCCTATTCGTTTGTAATTCCACAGCAAACTTCGAGCACCTAGGCTCAAGAATAAAGTCTCCGACCGACTGGAACTGGACGTAGGGCACGTTGTCTGAACCAGTATAAACCCTGTGTCATTGAGTGCTAGGCCACATTCGATCACAACGTACGGTAAAACTACGAATATTTACTTGTTGGTCACTTTTCGCACCGACACTACTGTTGCTAATTGTGAGGATGATACGACGATGTATTAATCTACTATATTTCACAAATTATATAAGAAAGTAAGGAGTGAGGAAATGATGAACCGACTTGTGTAAACCGTTCTTTCAACATCTTTTCCTTTTTAACGAAACACGCGTCATGGACGCGTTCTTGAAAAAAAAAGACTTTCCTTGGACTAAATATTAAAAGTTTTTCGTGGATGCAAACCAAAGTGGAACACAGAACCATATATGATAGATGGATACGCCGAGAAGAAAAAATAATTTTAAATGTCCGGTACCAGCTGAAGCCGCGGTGATCTCGTCGTCCTTGCAATCGATGACGTGCAGCGAGATCCTCGCCGAGCCGGGCTGCGACAGGTAGAAGTCGTCGAGCGCGAGCGAGATGCTCGCGCGGCTCGCCCTCCCGCCGGCCGACCGGAGGTCAAGGAGCATCCCGACCTGCGCGGCGGCGGCGGGTGGTCTCTGTCCCTGAGCCAGGCCCAGGCGCGTGGAGTCGTGGCTCACCAGGAGGAAAGAGCAAAGCCAGGAAGACATGAGCACGAGGCAGGAGGCCACGATGCCGCAGTTGCGTCCAACTCCAACCATGGCTCGATCTACTAAGGAAGGCCACTGCTATACTATAGAGGTATCCTTTTCTGTGATGAAGTTTTATGAATGGCAATAATTGATATAATAATCTAAGTTGAACAAGTTTGATTGCGTGATGTCTCAGGACACGCTTTTCGGAGGAGAGACGATAGTAATTAAGCGCCGCTAGCTGGGTTGTTTAGAGATGGTTGACTACTGGACATTGCGACGTACGTTCTCTGCACCTCCATAGGAGCAAGCAGCCTCGCCCATCCTTTCTGCTCGAAGTCGTCGTTTCCGCAATTGGGTTAGGCCTTAGGCGTGGCATTAAATAGGGGCGTTGATTGAACTTCTTTTTTTTTTTTTTGAAACTTGTGACTGTATGTATGTACGTATCAGTCTAGAGATGCCCTTCCGGTCAGCGGGAAGGACGCACAGAAACCGGCCACGAATCAATCCATGAGCGCATGCTCGTCCTTCAATCATGTTGTGACAGCCGTCGTCGCTGCTCTTTTTTTTTTCTGGTCTGACGGAGTCATGCTCATTGCTTGGAGAAACGCACTACACAGGGTCCACGAGGCCGCGCCCAGCGAGCGGAGCAGCAGCGGGCGACAGACGACATGGCGCTGCTCCGGCTGGTCTCCAGCTCGGATGGCGGCGGATCAAGTTGCGGCGAGGAAGAAAATGCCGTGGGAGAGGAAAGGGATTAAGGCTGTGTTTAGCTGTAGAAATTTGGATTTTGGGGCTACTGTAGCACGTTCGTTTTTATTTGGCAAATAGTGTTCAAACATGAACTAATTAGGCTCAAAACGTTCGTCTCGCAATTTTCCACCAAACTGTGCAATTAGTTTTTCTTTTTGTCTACATTTAATGTTCCATGCACGGGCCGCAAACATTCGATGTGACAGGTACTGTAGCATTTTTTTAAAAGTTAGGGTGGAACTAAACAAGGTCTAAGGAAATCGATGGAGTCTTTTACTGAGAGAGAGCCGACAGATTTTAAAGGGTTGAAAAGTGAGGAGATCATGATTTTTCAATACATTTTCCTATAAGACAGTTTTTGTTAAGAGCATCTCTAAGAGTTCCTAATAAAACTTCTCAATATAGGATTTTTGGTAAGAATAGAAAAAACACATCTCCGATAAATCTCAATCCCACCTTCTAATCTTTCAGCGCTTAGAAAAATAGACCGATCGCGTAGATATATCAACGGTATCCATCGGTCAATTTAAAGGTGGAAGGGCGTGGTAAAGAATAAAGAGTTGGAAAGAGTTCCTGACGTAAATGTACAAAAGAGAAAAAATATATAAAAGTGGTTAGGATAGTTTAGAAATGGTATGAAATTCTTGTTTTTTATATTTTAGGAGCGAATTATTAGAAACCGTCAGAGATGATCTTATTTGAACTCTTGAAGATGCTCTAAAGAGTGAGAGGGGGTCATTTTCTCGGTCCGGTAGAGTTAGAACATCTCTAAGAGTCTTTAAAAATTTTCCTTTTACTTTGTGAAGTACTTTCCAATAACTTTTTTTTATATCTTATGGTTGTTATTTTACTATATAATTTGAACAAATTGTTCGGATTCATAGCTGAAGTTTGACCAACACATCTTTCTTATGGTTGTTATTTTACTATATAATTTGAACAAATTGTTCGGATTCATAGCTGAAGTTTGACCAACACATCTTTCAGTAACGTTACCCTTCACTCGATGGACAAATCTTCGATGGTGCTCATAGGGTAGGATGCGCGTGCATGCATTCATAGGGGATGAATATACACTCGTGTATGTGAGCGTCTGTAACTCGGTCTCGCAAAAAAAAGAAAATGCACATAATTCATTACAATTCTCAAGAATGAGTGCACAATCTAAGCTCTCCTGCGTATTTCCGGGAAAACAAAACAATGCGCATAATCTCATCACAATTCTCACGCATAAACACGCACACGAAAAGCCTCGCAACCAAGAGTGATTGTACAAAGGAGGGTGACAGCTCAAAATCAGACGATAGGCAAACAAAAAAAAAAGGAAAAAAACAAACCATGAAAAAATTAGAACCTTCGCATGTTAACAGTATTGACCATAACACGGTAATTAGGTGATCACGAGCGCTGGCCAACAAGCACACCTCGCCCAGCCAACGAAGGCAGCACATGACTCAGCTTAGCACACGGTAATGACAATGGGAAAGCCTCCTGTCTCTACCAACCTATGTAAAGGTGAAGATATGCATTAGTCCACAATGCCTACTTGTGTGACACTGATCACTTCACAAGCACACGATAGCACTTCAGAACAGCGCACGCACCGAAGGGGAATTGTTCTCTTTACATTCATGATTCATAGCTCGTTGAGAAAGTCAGGCATCCGAAGGTGCTCTTGCATCAGTAGTAGTGGCTGGTGGTGGTTGCGGTTTATGTTGAAGAAGGGGAGAGAGTGCCTTAACTACGATGCTCATGCTGGGTCTAAATTCAGATTCATATTGCACACAGAGTGCCGCCACAGCCGCAAGCTGCAACAGACAGAAGAGAACCATTTTAGTGTAAACAACAATGTTACTTACTGGACGTATTAGCAGATGGCAGTAACCAACACATGGAAGCATGCACACACAAGGGATATAGAAGGAATGGAGCCAGACCTTGGCAACTCCCTTTGGAGGATACTCTCCCTTTAATCTTGGATCAACACATTGTTTCACTGTGTCCTCAGTCAATCGAGGTGTTGCCTGAACAAAAATGGATAAAATATACAATAAAGTAGTCATTAATCTGGACAGTAGTGCTTAGCTCCCAATGCATTAGCATGCAAATTTCATACCAAAAGCTTCAAGATGCTATGAACATGCAAAGACATCGCATGAGTTGGACCAAACTGTTTCCATGAATCCAGTAAGTTAATGATGACTTGATTACAGCAAAAGAAAAGCTAAATACGATTTGGTGGTTATATCTCCATATAAAGCAGCATGAAATGAGAAGGGCAGCTACGCTATTGCATGACATTAAAATAGCCTGTTACAATCATAGACCACAGCACAGGTTAAAATAAACACCGAATTGTGTTTGTTTCCTATTAGGATGAACAACACTGGTTTCTGACAGACAGGTGCGAGTATATCTGAGATTTTGAAATATCTTTTGAAAAAATCTAGTTAATGAGCCAACCTCTTGCTATCCATTTGTTTACACGTGTTTTCCTTGTTTTGTTTAGAGCAATTATCAACAAACAGTTGGAGTGCATGGTACCACTAAGCTTTAGTTTGAAATCGATTCTTAAGTTGAATAGTAGGCTTGTCGGGAATGAAATGCTTACCCATGTAACCAGACTCTGCTGACCTCTAGGCATTGTATGATCTACTGGTTTCCTTCCTGTTAGAAGCTCTAAAAGAACAACTCCGAAGCTATATACGTCACTTTTCTGAGTTAGCTGGCCAGTCATGGCATACCTGCATTACAAACGAAGATAAATTTAGTTTAAGTTGATTGTGTGGTATAATCAAGCAGGAAGCCCAAATCATGATCAAGAATTTGAGTTGAATAATTACTCGGGAGCATGGTAGCCGAAGGTTCCAAGGACACGAGTAGAATGCAAACGAGCAGCCATATCTGGAGACTGATTTGAAAGATTGAAATCTGCAATTTTCGCTTTGTAGTCCTCAAACAGAAGAACATTGCTAGACCGTATGTCCCGGTGGACTATTGAAGGCTGCACCTTTTCATGAAGATACTCTAGCCCTTTAGCAGCATCAATAGCAATCTTAACCCGCTGCATCCAATCAAGTGATGGACCAGGCTGTGCACCTGGAACACCCTTTCTTCCTTTCGTATGAAAAACAAAAGGTGAAAGCAAAACAGTTCAGATCATTATTGCAATGAATTTTTGGAGCATGATGTGCTACGAAAGAAGCAGGCGAAGAACTTTAAAATCTTGAAGTAACAATATAGGTAATATAGTAGGGCCTATGTGCATTTACTGTGATACAGTAACATTCATACCATGCAAGATATCATGCAGAGAACCCATTGTAGCAAATTCATAGGCCACTAGACGCTGATTTCCTTCCACACAATATCCAAGCATCTCCACAAAATTATCATGTTTTAGTTTTGAGGCAATGGATACCTACACAGAAGGAGAAGACAGAGTATACGGTCAATAACAAAAGCTTAATATGGATGGACAAACAGTACAGAATATAACAACTGGTAAGACGTGAACATAACTATAGAACCATACCTGTGTCAAAAACTCATTATCAAGTTCAGGGTCTGTTGAAGCATCAAGCTTTTTAACGGCAACATGTTTTTCACTGTCCAGAATAGCGTAATACACTCTTCCATATGATCCCTCACCAATCAAAGCCTTTGACCCAAAATTGTCAGTCTTTTCTTTCAGTTCTTCAAATGATAATTCAGGGACTTCAATGGAAGGTGGTGCCCTGATGGGTTCACTTTTAACAGCAAAACCATTTCCTGATAGCCATGTAATGACAAATAACTTTAGTCAGCAGCCAAAGCACAACAGGCAAACAGACCAGCAGCAAAGCAATAACACATCCTTTTAAAAAAATCTAATCGATGGAAATAATATATTACACCTACCAGTAATGAACTAGTCTATGACAGAATTCAATTGGCAAAAACAATCTGAATTGCTTATATACATTGTTTTGCATCAAAGAGAACAGTGTTAATTTCTTACCAGTGTCTTCACTTGAAACAGAAAATCATAATGTTCCATATTTTTACTTGTTGCCTTTTAAAAGGTCAGATTAGGTGTATGCCATGCATTTTCCTATAAAAAATTGAACTTAGTAGAGAAAGATTTATTGTTCAGAGAACAATCTGATACTTCATATCCTACATCCTGAAGTTCGCCTCACAAGCACTGATACTATTTGAAATAAAAGAAGTGTGAAGTGCCAATACTTTAGTACAAAATTTATTGAAAATACCCAACATGATTCTGATGAATCCAAGAGTGATGATATATGAATATGGCAAATTCAGTTTCCACAGAAGTTTCAAAACCCTTTCAATCTTCTGAGAACATAGGACTTGTATCGATCCTTGAAGATCAACAATCTAACGCGAGAAGGATAAAAAGGGACTAAGAAGGAAGAAGGCGGTACCTTCTTTCTCCTCCGGACTAATGGGACGTTCATTTTCATGTTCACGATATGAAGCATTGAACTGCGTGCAGCAAAACCACCGGCGCATACCGACCACTCTGACTTATCTTTGCCTCTATGTCATCAATGCGAACAAAAGAGAACAAGTTAGCCACAATACACCAATTTCAACTAAAAGTGTGACTTCAATTACATGGGAGCATTCAAAAGAGAAAATAGCGCTCCCCAAGCCTGACCAAAATAAAAGAGCTCTAGGCTGGCAGCATCTGGTTGAACTACTATCAAAACCCTCTACCATTGGTTTCCTTATAAGTTATATATGGTGATCACATAACTATGACCAGCTGCAAAAACTATACTCCATGTCCAAACAAATAAACAGATTCGTGTACAAAGGATAATTAACTAAGGTAGATACACATGTACAATGTACAATCATATTATATGTATTGCACGGCCGCATTTTACAAGTCAAGACAAGAGTGCTGACATCATACTTTCCGTATCTCTGTCATCGACAGAAGCACCATGGCGACGCAAATCGCCACAAACAGAGTCACCGCACCAGACGTTTTCACCAACCCCCGCGCGCGCCAAGCACGGCAGCCCCGTCCCCGTCCCGTACCCAAGCCGCGAACGGCGAACCTAGCTAGCAACGCGAAAAAAGCTGCATCGGGCCGTAATTGAGTCATCCAAACCCTCGAACATCGCATCGGAGAACACCTTCAACCCCGCCGCACCGGCTTCCATCCGTCAGGCCGCCGCCGCCACCACCCCAAGCGGGCACCAGCACGGCGCCCAAGCGCCAAGACCTATCGGCACACACAACACCACAGCCAGCCGGAGCATGCCCCGCGGAACAACCCCGCCGCGCGAGACGATGGGAGAGAAGAGCGAGTAGAGGCCTAGAGGGGCTCACCTGAGGCGGGTCGACGGCGGGGCGCGGCGAGAGGTGGACCCACCCACCCGACGACGACGAGGAGGAGGAGGAGACGCGGGAGCCGAGCGGAGCGGAGGAGGGCGGTGGCGATGAGCTGGCGAAATGACCTCGTCGTGCGGAGTGGTGTGGTGGGGTTTGGTTTTGGTTTTGTGGCACCCTGTCCTGGCCTGGATTGCTTCGGTGGCGTGGGGAGAAGCAGCAGAAGCAGAGGGAGGAGAGGGGCGTTTCGTTCCGTTCTGTTCCAGATTGACGAGGAACGCGGGGCAGGCCGAGGCGCGAAGGCACCGAGCCCACGCGACGTGACAGGCGTCGGGGCCGGCCGTGGACGCGTGCCGTGGCGTGCCCGCGCTTACCAGACATAACTACCCGCGCACCACGCCTTGGCTTTTTATTTTATCACTTCTTTTATTCCGCCACTCCTTCGCCAACGCGGGCCTGGTATACATCACCTCCAAATTCTAAGTTTTTTCATTCTCTTTCTATTACGTTAATTTTTAGACGCATGTATGGAGTATTAAATATAGATAAAAAAAATAATTAATTACACAGTTTGATTGTAAATCACGATATGGATCTTTTAAGCCTAGTTAGTCTATAATTGGACAAAGTTTGTCAAAAACAAACAAAACATGCTACAGTATTCAGATTGTAAAAATTTGCAATCTAGACCAGGCCGCGCTTGCTTCGCTTGCGAATTGCGATGCACAGGTGACAGACAGACAGGCCGTTTCCCGCTGCGGCGGCTGCATACATCTCAGTGCAGCTTCGACGATTTCTCCGTGCCTTTTCCAGGTGCCAGGCACGTCTTTGGAGACCATTGCTGTCCCTGCCTGGCTTACCGTCGGGCGGTTTGAAGATGGTTGGGTCTGGTTTATTTGGTCCCCTAAAGTTTATTTTCTGGAGTATTAAATATAGACTTAAAAAAATAATTAATTACATAGATTACGACTAATTTGTGAGATGAAATTTTTAAGCCTAATTAGTCTATGATTTGACAACGTGTTGCTACAGTAAACATATGCTAATGACGGATTAATTACACTTAATAATTTCGTCTCGAGGGTTACTGAGAACTTCTGTAATTTGTTTTTATTATTACTATTCAAACACTCCTATATAGCACACCGATGTGACATCTGATATGACATCCCTAAACTTTACTTCCTGGATTTAAACACCACCTAAATAATGTACTGTGGAGAAGATTTAGGAGGAAAAAGCACAGGGTTTAGATGGGAAACCAAATGTAAAGCGCTTGAAGATGGTTGTAAATAACGTATTGTGGAGAAGATTTGGGAGGAAAAAGCACAGGGTTTAGATGGGAAACTAAATGTAAAGCGCAGAGCTCTGGAGGAAGAATGAGAAACAAAATGGACTACCCGTAGAAGTTGTCACTGAAAATCATATCTGGCTAGGTACACTTTCACAATAGATATGGAAACAACAAATGTTGTGTTTCGTTGACGAATGGAACTTGCATCGTATGTATGAATGAGGAGATGCCAGCTCGATAGAACTGTAGTTTAGAAAAGAGAGTGTTCGGTGAGGTTGCATAAACAGATAAAAAAAAAGCTTAAATGTTGTTTGCTTACCTGTAGCAACAAATACAATCGACTTAGAAAAAGCCGCTTCCTGACACGATTGCCTCTTTATATAGATAGATATAACCCAAGAGTTTAAGTGGATGTTTGGTTCCTCCTCCTAAACTTTAGTCGCTATCCCATCGAATGTTTGGACATATGCATAGAGTATTATATATAGACTAATTACGAAACTAATTGTACAGTTTGCGACTAATTTGCGAGACGAATCTTTTAAGACTAATTAGTTCATGATTTGACAATGTGATGTTACAGTAAACATGTGCTAATGCCGGATTAATTAGGCTTCTGGAGTAGGTCCTCGTCTATCTCGACTTCTGGAGTAGGTCTCGGTTGTACCAAGTTGCTCTTAACCATGTATCCCTAGATCCCCGTGTGGTTTAGTATTCGAAGTCGTGTAATTTTTCGTGAAATCCCTGATCTACGTAATGTAATCACGTTTTCCCCTTCTGGTTCTTGCTTCGAATCTCGGAACGAGATTTTTTTAGGGGGGTTGGTTGTAACACCCCGGTGTTATGAGCTCGTTTAGCACAGCGATTTAGGTTTAAGAAAAATTTCCTAAATAAGTTTCTCGGATTTTAAAATTTTAAATATTGAGCTTATGTTTAAAATGCCATTTTTAGCAAACGATAGTGAGCAAAGTAATTAAATAGTGCTTAAATATTTTTGTCTCTATGAGTTAGTGCGATGTATGGACTTTTGCGTAAAATAATTATTGGTGGAAGTTAATCGTGTTAAAACTTAAAATAAAATAAATAAAAACCAGCTTTTCGCGTCAACATCTGAGATTATATTTAAAAGCGATGTTGTCCTTGCTGCACTGTATTCTGGACGTTGAGTACCGTGGTGTGTCTCCCTTGCTCTGAATAAATCCGTCATCCAAATTATTAACGTCGCGCCATGGCAGAGTGAAGCCGAGTCAGTCCTGCCTCCCCGCTTGCTCGCTCTCTCGGACTCTGCTTAACTTTTACGCCAGTACTCCCTGCTCATCTTTTTCTTGCGAAGCTGGCGATCTGGTTCGAATTTTTCTTTGGAGCCCGTGGTTCCTTCCCCCTGTCCTCGTCGTGTCTTTTCGCGTTCTGTGCGCGCGCAGTCGCGCAGCTGAAGCCCACGCTACGCCCAGTAGCCACTGCCTCCCTTGTCCATCAAAATTATGATCTTGTCGAGATGTCGCCGTCTGCCCCTGTGCGTCTCTACTCCCCTTTTTCTCCCTTTCTTTTCTTCAACCGAGAGGAGGCGCCCAGCTCCGATTGCCCTCCCCACCCAATCGCTCGGTTCTCTCCTCTGCTGGCGCGTGATGCCTCGTGTAACACCCCTGGTGTTAGGCTTGCATAATTGCACTTGCATTTCATGAACATGAGCATCATTCATCCATTCATGAGCTTATATCACATGAAACATGTTATCGAAACATTGCAACATGCTGTATATTTCATGAGTGTCTTTTTATAAAATGAATAGTGTGCAGCACCCAAGTACAACATGTGCAACTCACTTTAGTGGAACATAGCTAGTTAGTACGATGCAACACGATCATGAAACATGTGAAACATGACTATGAAACAAAAGTAACATTTCAATTGTTTTTCATTGTTTCAGTACATTCAGTGCTTGATTCTTGTGTGACCAATGTGTGGTATGGCTAAATATATTTTTAAACAACTTAGCTATACTTAGAAGGTCATTAGGAACAATGTTCATGTTGATCATTTTGCCTAATTAAGTTTTCAAGTCATGGTTTGACTAGTGTTGACCTCTAGAGCTCTTTGGTTTGACTGTTTAAAAAGTACAACTTAGAGTCTATGCATGCCTGAGCAACCTAAAGAAAACGTTGTAGCAAATTTTATAAGGAACAAAAGTTATTTTATGACCAACTCATGAAAATGTGCACAGCATGCTCAAAAAGGACTCACAAGTCAGGATTTGGGGCTGTATTCAAAACTCTGAAAATTTTCTAAGTCTAAAATGCAATGTCAGTTTGATCGAGCTGACTTTGGCTTGATATAACTCGTGATCCGTTGAGTTTTAGCTGGTGATTTCTGAAGCATTGTTGTAGCCCTATCATAGCTCTACAACTTTCATGTACATTGCTTTCACTAATTCTTCATGGTTTAGGAACTGTGTAGCGTTGAAAAGTGCCTGTCAGTCGGCTCATTGATAGCTGAATCGAAATTTCAGACTCGCTACAGTGCCGACCGATTTCAGAAAACCACCGCCGCGTGGCACCACCCGTCGCCGGCCGCCTGACCGCGCAGGCCACGCACTGCGGCCGTCCTAGCACTGCCGGCCATTGCTTGAACCCCCCCACACGCCTGCCCGACCGGCTCACAGTCCGTTTTTCATTTCCTTTGCCTTCCACCGCAAGCAGCGCCGCTCCGCCATTGCCGAGCAGCTCCGCCATCGCCTAGCTCGCTCGACTGCCGCAAAAACGCGACTACCAGCTCGTCAACAGCTCCGCCGTGTCCTCCTCTACATCCTCCACCTCTTAGCTGAGCCATTTGAGTCTTGGTAAGGGCACATTGGCCGTTTCCACCACCGCCCGCCATGACGGGGTCTCGCCGGAGTTGGAGCTCTACGCGGCCAACTACCACCGAGGCCTTCTCGTCCTCCTCTCTTTGTTTGGGTAGCACCGTAGCGACCCCCTGTAGCTCATGCCGAGCTCGGTTGAGGCATCCAAGGCTTGCTGTCGCCGGCATCTCGCGCCGGAGCTCTGTCGTGCTGACATCACCGGCGACGCGCCACCTCCGCTAGGTCTTAGGTCTCGCCGGTAGCACCAATCGTATCACCTCATCACGGAGATCACGCTGGTGCTTTCGGTGTCGCCGGAGGAGCCACCGTCGGCGAGCTAGACCATCGCCGCGCCGTCGCGTGCCGTCTCCCCTGTTCTGTGTCACTGACCAGCGGGCCCGGCTGACACGCGGGTCCCACGCGTCAGTGACAGTGTAGTGATAGGATAGTTCAAATTTACAGATTTCTATGCTGTTTTGTG